TGTATCTGGGTCGATCTGACGATTACGGATGTCTGGTAACTTGAAATTTTATACATGTGTTTATCAAAAATATATGAATCTTCGAAAATATCAAAAAAATATTTTATATGAAATAAATTGATCAAAATACCTAAAAATATTTGGGGGGGTATTTTGGTTTTTTTTCATGAATAATTTTTTATATATATTTGTATTAGGTGCGCCTTGATGAGAATAACACACACCTAAAATTTTAAGTGATTTGGATTTGTAGAAAAATAAATAAAATTCAAATACTATCAGACATCTGTAATCGTCAAATCGGCCCAAATTCAATCTGGGCTGCTGGGTTCATATGTTCATATGAGTAATGATCCTATGAGACCCTGTCACACCCATGTGTGTAGATCTGTGTCAAATTTAATGATAATCATTGGGTCCTGCACACATAGTAGGTATGGGAGGATCTCATAAGACTTGTATATAAGATTCCAAAATTTCACCATTAAATTTAATACAGATATCTAGAAAAGTTATTACATGGGTAAATAGAAAGAGAAAGATAGAGAGACTATATTACAAAAGATCTCACTAATCCAAATAAAATCAGGTTTCTTGTTAAATAAACTTTGCAATAGGAAAACCCGAACAAAAACCTTGCGCAACGAAATACTATCATCCAAATATGGAGAAATTTTAAGCAAAAATCATGTATATCTCCTGTTATCAAGATTTAATACTGAGGGTGCGTCAGACATGGTTGAGAGGAACGTAAAATTTTCAAAAAAAAAAAAGAGGGATAACCCTGATATTAGTTTCGGTTTGAAGTTTTTCAACTTATTACGGTAATAAGAATATCGTAAGGACTTCACCACACATTAGAGTAATTTAATTACTGTAATAATTCAAACAATTACGGTATTAAAAATATCATAAAAAGAAGATTAGTTATTACGGTTGTCGAAGTACCGTAATATAATTCCATACTATTATGATATTTTATACACCGTAACACTATCACAATTTGTAACAATATTTAAATTACCGTAAAGATCAAAATGTATTACGGTAGAAAGACTACCGTCCAGAAAAAACCGAAAATTGGAAAAAAGAGTATGTCGGGGTTTTGAGGAGTTGGAGTTTTTTTTGACAATTTTATTAAAATTTAAGTATACTAACGATAATTTCCCTTATTAATACCATGCGACACGTAGCGAAAGAATAAGTGTGGTAGTCTTTTCGCTCAATATAAAATAGATAGATAGATACAATAGTGATATTCTCATGTCATAGATTGCATTGATCATAG